ACAGGAGTCTCTGTTCTCACTCCTCGGAAACGTAAATCATTTTAAATTGCTTTTTGAGCATTCGTAAATGGTTCGACTTCCTCCCGGTACACTACTGCCTGTCCTTGTCCCCATCCCATCCCCATCACCGACCCTGTTCCTGTACCTGCCATGGTCCATGGGTCCAGCATCAAGCAAGCATCGATATCCATCTATCTCCGCTCTCTGTTTGTTTCGCTGTCTCTGCCTTTGGGGTGCCCGTTGAGCGGATGCAGCTGTGTGTGGTTTTGGTTTTGGTTTACCTGTGATTTGCTCCGGAGACAACGCTACGTATGAGTAATGTAGCAAAAGACTTTGTAAGCGATTCTTGTTGATAATTATCAGTTTTAATTGGCGGACACAAAGGGCTTGTCTACAACAATGGCAATTGGCTACACAGGAGGTATACAAAAAATGAGCATTATAAATATAGAAAATGAGTTGAAAACTTTTCTAGAAATCAACAACAAAGTACACATAGGGCTATAATAATATAAAATAATATTCTATTATTTGAGCTTAGAAAATGCTCCAATATTTAATTAAAATCTGCTTACAATTTTCATTTATATATGTTTATTTTATTAATATTTATTATTTAAAAATAGCTGATATAATAAATTTGCAATGTCCTAATAGAGTTTGTTTTTTTTTCATAAATATACAAATTTGTAAGGCTTAATCATTAAAGCAAAAATAAAATATTTGAACGGAAAATAAATTGTATTAGATATTATTTGGAGAGTTTTATTTAAACAACGATTATTAATTTGTACGAAAATTTAAGCTTTGTAAAAACTATTACGAGCAAGGTTACACACGGCAAGAAAGGCAGCAACTTCCAGCAGCATTCCGAAATATTAAGTTAAAGAATTACTTATTTTTTTGTCATAAAAAATTCGAAAGTACGTTCCTTTCATTTTTTATTCCACAGTTTATTCCCTTACAGTTTCATAAAATTATGCCTTCTAATTGCATCAACAAAGGACCCATAATTGTTTTTCCAAATGATTTATAATGAACACAAATCAATTATTTAGACATTTATCACCTCAAACGCGATATAATTTCCCCGCTTTGCTTTGGTTTAATAATTTCGCAATATATATAATTTATCCCTAAACAACCAGCAAAGGGTGTCAAGTGTCATCCTCGAATTAACGCGTTTCAATAGCGAAAACTGAGGAAGAAATCAAATTATTTGCAGCACATCACGAAACAGCACGGAAACACCAAAGTTCTGGTTTTGTTTCACGGTGGGGCGTATACGTGATCAAATATGTAAATAATTACAAAATGAAAATGTGTGTGTTGTGTGTGTGTGTGTGTGTGGAAAACCAAACGAAGCGTAGCCAGCGACACATACTCGCTGTATCCTAGCTGTAACCAGTGACAAAAAATAATGTAATAAAATAATGCTAATGATGGTACCGACACAGGAATACCTGGTAGTTAAAGTTCAGCTTGAAATGTGATTAAAAATTGAATTAATTATACTCTATGTTGTTTTTATAATATTAATAATATAATATAATAATATAATAATAATAATAAAAATAATATATACAAAAAAAGGGAAGGGAACGAATACGGCAAATATTCCTGTCTCATCAGCATATGAATTTTGTTGCTCTAGAGTTGCATGGAGTTGCATATTGAGGGGAAAAATATTAATTTTTTTATAATATAATATTTATAATATTTTATATTTTATAATAATTATTTATTAATCTAAACTAGATTACATATCAAAAAACTTTATGGCCATGAAATTCTACCTCTTCCTGTTCTTCGAGTATACCCTTGCTCTTTGACGTGTTTTATACAACACACAAAAAAATGTTGTATTTCCACTTTAAAAGCGTTACACAAACCACAGCGTGAAAAACTGAAGGCGTGGCTGGTGGCGTATGACATCAATTTATTTGCGCCACGCACGCGAATGCAAACAAATTAAATTGCAAATCATGATTAGCTTTCCACAAGGGGAAAAAGCTACACACAAAAAAATCCCTGCATATAGCGGAGGATTGAGGGTATACAAAAAAAAAGGAAAGGGAATGAATACGACGAATATTCCTGTCTCATCAGCATATGAAAATGTTGTTGCTCTGCTTTTGGCTTTTGTTTTGCTCGAGCGGAAATCTGATGGGGAATTTCTTTAGAATGGAGTTGCATATTGAGGGGGAACAACGGGAATACCCTTTGCGGGCAGAATAAGATTTTCAAAATGGTTGGTAAAGTTGTATAAAAGTTGGATACCTCTCGCAGAAATTTAAATAAATATTCTATTAATTTTTGGAACCTCTTTGAGGGTATTTTTTCTGATGGTAATAAAATAAACATTACATGTAGATTTTGTGTCACTATTGTTAGAAATTATAAAAGTTCTTTAAATCAACCAATTAAAATTAAATACTTCTGAAGATCTTGGCCCAAATGTTTTTTCTTGCATAGAGCATTTAAATTGTCGTCTGGAACAAATGCGATTTTCTTTCGCTCCTGTTGCTGCTAGTATTCTTTTTATAAATTTATGATGTAGCTGCAAATTTAACGGATTGCAATATACTTCCACTGTTCCCCTCACTTTTGTCTCTTGCCGTCTCGCTGTCTGCCCCGACTTGCGGCTCTGCGGCTACGGCTACGTGCAACACTTGAGAAATACCAGCAGAGCAGAGCGTGTTTGTATCTTTTCTCTACCCCTACCCCAAGCCGACGTCACGTTTGATAATATGGTAAATAATTTAAGCAAAGCAACAAAACAAAGCAAAGCAAAGCCATGCATGAAATGTACAGTTGAAATGTACAGTTGCGCATGTTAAGGCTAGGGGATAACCTATAATTTTAATTGCATATAGAATATTTAGACTAATTTTAATTGGCTTTAAAGAGCTATTAATATAGTCATTTATTTATGTTTTAAACAATTAAATGTCTCATTTCTTGCCTTTTATTTTGTATACAAACCTGCTCGCATATACAACACACTCGCAGCCCTTAGAAATACCCTGTAGAAGCACGCGACAAACTGGCAGCAAATGTCAACGACACAAACCCAAACAAAAATCTACCAAAAAATAAAAGAAGAACAGAAGCAGAGGCAGAAGCAGCCCAGAAGACAACCAGAAAACCAACATCGATGTCAAGTTTGTGTTAAATTATGTGTAAATTATTTACCAACAATGCAGCAGAATTGAGTTTCAGTCGCATTCGGAAAAAATCGTAGAAAATCGATGGTAGATGGAGATTTATGGTATTTGATTTTTGGGTTTTTTTTTTGTTTCGTTAAAGAAAGCTTTTCCTTTGTTTTTCTTTGCGTTGTTTAATAGTTTTTTCTATCTGCCTTCCGAATTTTAAAAAATGTTACATAAGCTAAGGTTTCATTTGGGGTTTTTGTTTTGGCGTTTTATTTAATTAATTCTTTTTATTTATTTTAATTTTGCTTGTATTTTAACAGGAAGCTCTCAACTTCCTGTAGCAGGCACCTCAGAGGATTTAAGCTTCTGCAAAGTGTAGGAAATTGTTGCTACTTAGGCTATAGAAATAATTGGATTGAGGCTGTGATCATGGAGGCCACAGCATAGTTCTGGAAGAGGCAGCCAACGCCTTAGCCACAGTATTTACTGTACCACAGTCGCAGTTCTGTCCGCTCCATACCACACCATCTTATCTTGGACTCTACGACTAATACTTGCTATGTATATCCTTGCATTGATGTAGTGTCCCCCCCAGCTTGAAAGCAAATAGAATTAACCAAAAGGAATTCACATAAAAAAAAAAAAACTTTTCACAAATTGAATTAACGCACACAGACAAACACACACACACATACCCAAAAAAAGGGGAGCCCACAGCTTCGAACTTCTTCTTTTTTCTAAGGAGCGAGCTCATTGAAATTCCCTTCCTACCTGCAAATGGTCGATGCTCTTAACCTCAGGTAAATATTTATACAGGGCCCTCTCATTCGAGAGGTTTTGCCCATACACAATGTCTCTCTCCTCTGTCTCTCTTTCGCTCTCTGTCTTCTGTGTGCTGTCTCTTGTTGTCTCTCCAGGTAAAAGGAAAACATTCGCAGATTCTATTCAAATCTTTGGCCCCCACCCCACCAAGTTGCCCTTTCCGAGCACTTTAACAGCAGCAGCAGCTTTTTGGTTATTTTGTTTGCACTTCGTTGCTGTGTGTGCGCTGTGTGTGTGCTGTGTGTTGTGTGTGTGTGTGTGTGTGTGTGTGTGTGTCCAGTTATTGAATTCCACTTGTTTAGCTTGATTTTGTTGTAGTTCTCTCTCTCTCTCCTGGGATGCTGCTGGGGGGTCTGGGGTTCTGTGTAAACGTGCAGAAAAAAAAACTTTTGCGTGTTAACAACATTTTTCAATATAAGTTGGCAAACTTTTCTGTGCCTCAGACGCACACACACACACACACACACACACACACACACACACAGAGACACAGAGAAGCCAGCCCACCCACATGTTTGCCAAAGCCAAAAGTAAAAGTCTAGCAGCAAGTCAAGGATGTCAGTCAGTTGGTCGTATCCTGGGTGTCCTCCTCGGTATCTGTCTGTGCGTCTGTCTGTCTGTCTGGTATTTGTGTGTGCCACTGCAAGTGGCAGCTAAGATGATCAAATAAAGAAAAGAAAAGAAAAAAAGGTAGAAGAAAACTCTCAAGGGTATTTTAGTTAAAGAAAATAGAGAAACAGCAAAGTAACGAAACGAAACGGTTCTACCAACCCCTACCAACCCCACCACCCACCACTCTACTACTATATATGCGGGTGGGTATATCTATCGCTCTTACAGGTAAAACTTCTGGGGCTTGATGAATTGAATTGTTGACAAACGAACCAACGAACGAACGAACCAGCAAAACAGAAGAAAATTGTGTTTATTCAGTCATGTTACAAGTTACATTTACGGGGTGGGGGCTGGCAAAAGTTCTTGGCCCCCACGCCAAGCTCCCTTCAATGCTGCAACCACCGAAAAGGGGAAAATGATTTACAAGCTGGGATCATATAGATTTTATTCTACAATAAGCTAAATAATTTTCGCGGCTGCTTTCGGGGCTGGATCACTGAACATATAGCGTATCCAGCATCAGTACTTGATGATTGTTCTTGGCCAGTGTGATGACATAACCCTCGCCGGTGATCTTCAAGCCGCAGCAACGCGAAACATTCAGCTGGGGACACTCAAACATGGACTTGAGCACACCATCGCGGCCATAGCAGGTCACATGAAAGCGATTGCCATGCGAATCACCAATGAGAATATCCCCAGCGCTGGACAGCTCAATGCCCATGGGAAAGCAGGAGACCTTCTCGTTGCCAATGCGATGCAGAAATTGGCCATTCTCCTGGAACACGGCAACGGCATGGCCCTTCATATCGCAGATATAGAACAGATTATCGCGTATGGCTATGTCCGAGGGTTCGCGCACAAAGTCACTGCAGTCGAACCAGTGCAGCAATAGGCCCTCCTCCGATATCACAAAGACAGTGGGCGAAACGCTATCAACGGCCACAATGTGACCCTGCGCAGTGACGGCCAGTCCCGAGACAATGTCCATAAATCTTATGGCAATCTTGAGCATAAAGGTGCCGCATTGTGTGAAGATTTGCATGCGTGAGCGCTCACTGCCGCGATCGCAGACCACAAAGTTGCCATTGCGCTGGCTGACGGCCACCTTGCGGGGATAGTAGAGTTGGCCATTCTGCTTGCCGGTATCGCCAAACTGAAACTGCAGGCCGCCCATTTTGTCAAACACGGCGATGCGATGATTGTTGGTATCGGCGACAATGATCTCCTCGTGGCGGCCCAGGCAAAAGCCATGCGGCAGATTCAACTGTTCCTTGCCCGAGCCCAGGGAGCCGAATTTGTGTATGATCGCCATGGGCGTGGCCTTGCTGTGAACGGCGGGCCCAAGCATCATCGGGCCATGGAAACCCTCGCCTGATGAATTGAGAGCTTGCTGGCTGCCAGGCGCGGTGTCAGCTGGCGGCAGCTGGAAGCGTTCATTGTTCAGTCTCAGTTGGGCGAGAGCCTGCAAGTTGTTGAACGCGCGCTCAACGTCCTGCTGCTTTTGTTTCTGCTGCTGTTGCGCCTCATTCGAGCTGGGGCTAGCATCGGCCACGGTCAGAGCCTCGCTCAAGGCATAGGACATCGTTAGGGGCATTCTGGGCATACGGTACTCCAGCATACTGAAAGAGTTACAAGTTGTTAGGTTTTCTAGATATTTTCTTAATGTGCAGACAGCGTCGTAAAAGAGCACGTGGCAGCGTAACAGCTTCGTGCGGCTTCGGCCGCAGCGGCACTGCAAAAAATATGTGAGTGTCTGCGTGCCGACCACGGATCAATGGCTGCAATAGCTATGCGGCCGAACTATTAATATTGCACTGTAGCTGCTTCTTTTTACTCTCATTCTTTTGCAGAGCCACAACTACATTTTCTTTCGAACCTTGTTAAAAAGGTTCGGCCCACGAAATATATAATAGTTCGGCCGCACTTACCCAAGCAAAAACGCGTAAAAACCAATAAAAATTACAACCTTTATACGTTCTTAAATACTTTTAACCGCACAATATGCAACTTTTCACAAAAACTAAACAATATTAATGACAAAACGTAAGACAGACACAATAGCTTCACAATCATTGACATTTAATTCAAAAGTATATTTGATCGGGCATAAATTTTGGTTCCAAACTAATGCCATAACCAAAACAAAGTAGCCATGTCTGTGATTTGTCTATCAGTGTCCCAAAAATCCCAGCAACTGAAACATTAAAAACAAAATTGCATTCCAAAAAACGAAAAATACATTTTAATAGAGTTTGAAAGTTATAAAGCTGCCGCTGCCGTTGCCATTGGCCAGAACTTCAACGAAAATGTCAAACGGCGAACAGAAGACAATTCCAAAGACTCGAACAATTATATTTCGTCAGCATATTCCACAAATTGATTTGACGGCGGACAGCGACGATGAAGATATTGTTGCTAATTCGAAAAAGCAATGCGACAATGCCTGCGTCTGTCCCATTTGCTTTGAACACCTGCACGGCAAATGTTCAGTGGTCACCGTATGCGGACATCTCTTCTGCTTCAAGTGCCTGAGAAAATCGGTGAAGATATATTGCTGTTGTCCCCTGTGCAGGAAGCCTCTGAACAATACACAATTCTATCGAATATATTTTTAAATATTCAACTGTTTAATGTTTTTCGTGGTTTTAATTGGTTTTATTGTTTTATTTTTTTTTTTTTTGTTGATTTTTTCGTTCGTAAAGTTACTCAAAATGTTTGGCAAAATCAGTTAATTAATATATGTAAATCATATAAATAAATATAAATAAAAGTGTGGGTAGCATTCGTCGCCTCGTCTATAAGAGATGTTTGATTTTATGCCTAAAAAATATATATAAGAAAATGATGTACCCAATTATTGTGAGCGGATAAACACACACAGATAAATGTCAGTGCAGAGAGAGAGTCTCAGAGAGCGACCCGCATACATACGTACTCGTACGTATACTGGAACTATTATAAAGTCTCTGCCGTGAGCCTATCAAATTATGTTTTTCTCTCATGTATTTTCCTTAAAGCCTAGCATTCAGATCCTGTTAGCTAGCAAACAAATGTCATATATTCTTCTAGTGGCCAGTTCTAGCTAAGAAGCAGCAGATGGCGGCCCACGTGAAGAAAAACTGTTTTGAAAACAATATTTGTTTTATATTTATGAATAAAAATAATATATTATATTATCCATACAATTTTCCTTTTTATAATGCTGCATTAATAAGATTATATTTGTCTTTATATATTTATATTTATATTATATTTATATATTATATATATATATATTTATATTATATATTTATATTTGTCTTTATATTTTTTAAATATTTCATTTGGTTTTTTGCTCTCATATTGCAATGTTTTCTTGGTGTTTGCTGGCAAAATATATCAAATTGATATTACTTTCCAGGGGGAGTAAAAAAATACCAGCAATACCAGCAAATACCTTCGGATACTTTTCCAGTACATACCGACCACTTTTTTGTTGATCTGCCCGAACAAATTTCTTATCGGTTTCATACGAATATCAACCCTGATTCTGTTCGCGCGGTGTTTTTTTTTTGCTAGCAAAAAAATGTCATATATTCTTCTAGCGGCCAGTGGTGTGACCAGAGGTGTGCACTGCATTCCGTACGATTACATTTATCATTATTTTTGTCATATGCTAACCTTGCTTTTTGTGTCTAAAATTAAATCAAACCAATTTCGATTCAATAGAAATCCCAAAAGAAATCAATTTGGCAAATAGAATTTCAAACAGCATGGCAAACAATGGGAATACTGTTATTAACCCATTAGCCCGGTCCGCAGAGACAATTGACTTGACGGGCGGCGACGGCAATGACGACAAAGAGGAGGATGAGGAGCAGCAGGAACGCCAGCGTTCAGCTGAGCAAAACATACGCGCTACACGTTGTCGCCATTGCTTAAAATATCTGAAAAATTTGCCAGCAATGGCAACCACATGTGGACATATCTTCTGTCGGGAGTGCCTGCTAAAGTCACTGCATAATAGTATGCGGTGTCCCCTGTGTCACGTGCTCCTTGGCCCGCAAAGCTATTTTCCAATATATCCCATGTACAAAAAATAGTTAAATATTAGAACAGACATTGTAACACAAAAAATGTCTTCATGCCACATCACATACTCACATCAAATGTCGTTTAATGAAGCAATTATAATAACACAATTTTCTTGTGTGTGTGTTTTTTTTTTGATGGGAGCAGCAGCAGTCACAACTTTGCCAGCACATAATCTACCCACTTACAGGCCATACCAAATACTAAAAAAAAAAAACAAACCGCCCAACAAATTGTCTAGATGAAGTGCACTTTTGTCAGAGCTAAAGGTAGAGACGGAGAAGGAGAGGTGAAGCAAGCTTGAAGCGACGTTTTTCCAACTGCCCGTAAAAGTAGACTACAAAATATGCTTAAATATGCATTATGCTCTTATGGAGCAAATGCCGAAAAACACGAGCTGCACACAGGGCAGAGCAGGCCAGAGCAGAACAGAGCGAAGCAGACCAGACCAGAACTCGACTCAAACTCGACTCAATTGCATGTAATGGCACTTAAGCTTACAACCCAGGCTGCGTCTTTCTCTCCCCACTCTCTGTTCCCCTCTCCCCCACTCTCTGTCCCACTCTCTCTCTCTCTGTGTGTGTAGCACAGGTGCAAATGTAAATGCATCAAATCCGAATTGGACCAGAGAGCGTGAAGAGGTACAGGTCCAGGTCCAGGGCACCCAAAACTGCTGCTAGACGAAGCTTTTGCAAAAAAGCATTTTCAATTTTTCCGCCTGAAGCACACACACACACATACACAAGAGATGCAGATCCAGATAAAGATACCGATACATACGCATTTTTTGTTTCTCTTTTTTACTATTAGTGTTTTTTTTTTTACTAATATGCCATGCCACATGCCCCCAATGCTTTGAAAGCATTGCATTTGGCCTCGACAGAAACAAACAAAAAAAATTGTAAAAGAAAATTGCTGCTAAAAAATAAAAGAACCCATTGGTAGGTCCACTCTGACCTTTGCCTGGAGTTAGGCGGGGGCTTTCAGACACTCCAAAAACACAACACCCCAACCATACCCTCTTCAGGCAATGGTTTTACAGACACTCCCTGCCCACTTTGCTCTTACTAGATGGTGGGTTGGCTGGGGGAGGGGGAGCACATTTGAATTTGAATGTACATTGAAATTGATATTGCAACAAAGAGGCGATTACTGCAACTGGCTCCGCAGTTATTGCCACTGCAACTGCAAACTGCCAATGGTACTCTTCACAATGCCACTGCCACTGCTGCCTGCCACATGACCACCGACCACGACCACTACATGTGATTAGCACCAATGTCGCGTGGAAAACTGTGAAAATTCGAGGGTCAAATGGAAACTTGAATGTGCAAAGTCTGGTAAAAAAAATTCAATTGGATTTGTGGAATTTAATGAAAGAATAATCGAGGTTGGTTAAAGAAACCTTTAAATAAATATATAAAATAATAAATAAAAATAGTTCTTAATATGCTTATACATTCAGCCGATAATAATAATAATTAATACAAAAATAAAGCAATAAATAATTAGAATTTATAAATAAAATAGAAAAATTGCATTCCCAAATTAAATAAATAAATAGAATTTATAAATTAAATAAACAATTATTATTATAAATAAAATAAAAAAATAGAATTTATAAATTAAATAAACAAATATAATTTAAAAATAAAATAAATTAATAGAATTCATAAATAAAATAGATAAATTGCATTCCTAAATTAAATAAATAAATAGAATTTATAAATAAAATAGATAAAAATAAATAAATAGAATTTATAAATAAAATAAATAAATAATTAATAATAAATACATTTTTTCTTTTAGATATATTAAAATCCCAAGATGCTGCAGCTCAAGGCTTATTCTTTGCTGATATATTTAGCTACTAAATCTTGTCCTCTGTTGTCGTACCAAAAACTTATTAAACACCCTGTGTGGTGGTGGATGGCACACCTGCGCCGACTCTACCCCTACCCCCTCTGCCAAAACACGCGCGCGGCCTTCATTTGCGTTTGCTTTAACGTTTTGTTATTTTAAGGCATTCACGTTTTGCCGTATGTAATATTTACCTTAACAGTTGTGAAAGTTTGCCAACATGTTGAGCATATTGCGTTTTGTACACACACACACACACACACACAAAGGGTTTTTTGGGTGGGCAGGAGGCGTGGCCAGCACTCCCTCTCCCCGTCTCTCTGTCGAGTTCTCTATCTAACTATTTATCCAGGCGCGTGGGGTGTGTTTGCCTTTGAAAACGGCCCACCAGCCATGCCACCCAATTTCCGCACCAATGCAAATTTTGCTGCAACATTTTTTGGGTTACGCTGCCCGCCGTGTAAACATTTTACCGTTGTAGATATCAAATTTTTGTCGGGGCCTAATTGAATGCTTGGGAATTTTTAGTGAATTTTATTTTGGGATGTGCGCGTGGGAAGTGTTTAGAGAGAGATTTGAAATGTTTAGCTGGAAGGTAAAAATGAATTAAAATGAATTTTCAGAAGTAAAGAAAAAACACCATAATTATGCCATTAAAGAAGTTAATCCTTAAATGATGCCACAAAAATTCTCCAGACAATGTTAGGAATTTGCTGTGGTGCAACAAATCACTTTGTGCAGCTCTAAGGGGACACTTTTTTCGCTCGCCCCAACCCACACCGAAACCAATCTCTTTAGCCGGAACATGGAATACTCGTAAGCCCAGGCGGCACTCCATTATTCCCAGTGAGTACTCGTACTTCACGCAGCAAGCACACACACACACACACACACACACACTATGCCATAACCTCCACATGCCTCCACTAAATCGTTTTGGACACTTTAACTATCCGCTGGGATGACCCACCCCAGCCAAAAATAAAAAAAATAAGAGACTTTCCCCCCACCACAGAAGGCAAGTGAAGTCATGCGCTTAGTGTGGGTGGGTCTACGGATGGGTGGTCAACGAGAACGTCGACAATTCCACGTTTCCAATTCTCTGGATTCTATTCCATATGTTTGCACAGACAATTCGTGCGGCGTGTGTGCTGCG